TGATAGAGTAGAGAAGTTGCTGTCAAATAATAAAGTCTTGAATAAGATTAATATCCTTTTTCTGTTTGTTCTTTCCATTTATCTGATGATCTGAATTCTTGATGGTCTTGTTTACCTGCCTGGATATCATATATTCTTATCTATTGACCCATTGGACAATATACTGACTGTATAGTCTTTTTCCTGGGGTCACCTCACAGTGACATGTGTCCTATATATTGGGCACTTCTTGGCTATACCAATTCTATTCCTCTCACCATCTTCCTATCTATCTTGACCTCAACAAGCTTCTGTTTTTAATTTCTTAAGACAATTTGCTCAGCTAGACTGTCCAATTCATATTGTTAGGAAGTAAGTAATCTAACTTCCATAATAACAACAACAGATAGATGATAGTACTTGTTCTTTCACATTGCTTTTATGATAATGTGTTCCTTCATTAAATTTTTCTTCAACATGTTGATTATTGTGAAGTACTCAGTATAGTACTTCTTGAAATATGATAAAATTATAAAGGTTACAATTAAAGGTCAAGGTATTGTGGCTTCCATCATCTCATTGCATATAAATAATTTTTTCAAACTCCAATCTTAATATAATTTCTTTTTCTAAAATGATACAGTAATTTAAACCCTTTACTATGACAAAACATTATTCAAAATCCTTTCTGAAAAAAGGAGATGAATATATAACTAAGTGCTAACACAATTTCATTATTAATAAATAAAATTTAAGTAATAAAATATAAAAGCTTAATTATCAATATTGATTAACATAAAATTAGTGAATGAATTTAAGTTTATTGATTAAATTTGTTAATATATTTTAATATAATTAAAAACTATAATGAGAAGAGTTGGAGAGGCATGGTGGCTCACACCTTAAACCTAGCACTTTGAGAGGCTGAGGTGGGAGGATTGCTTGAGACCAGGAGTTCGAGGAGAGTTATGACACTGGAAGGGCTTACATGCATTAAAGAATGAATGTAAAATCTAGAAAATTGAAACATTTATTTGATATGATATATTATCTAATGTATACCAGAAATTAAAACCATATATATATATATATACATATATATATATATACACACAATCCAAGTATCCAACAATACAGCATGGTTTAAATAAATTATGGCCTATTCACAATAAAATTTTTTTTTTTATTTCGGCATATTATGGGGGTACAGATTTTAAGGTTTCAATATATGCCCTTCCCCCCTCCCCCCACAAGTCTGAGTTTCCAGCATGACCATCCCTCAGATGGTGCGCATATCACTCGTTATGTATGTATATACCCGCCCCCCCCTCCCCAATACCCTATTACTGTAGTACCTATGTGTCCACTTAGGTGCTACTCAGTTAATACAGTTTGCGGAGAAATATATCTGGTGCTTGTTTTCCATTTCTCGGGATATCCACTTAGTCAATATGGTTTCCAGCTACACAGGAAATAAAGATGCTTATCACCATTGTTTTCTTAAGCTGAATAGTACTCCATGGTATACATACTACCAATTTTATTAATCCATTCTTGGACTGATGGAACTTGGCTGTTTCCACAGCTCGCGATTATTGAATGTGCTGCTATACAACATCTCGATGCAGGTTGTTTTTATAAGAGTGTCATTGGATCATCTTGGGTAGATGCCCAGAACCAGATGCTGGGATTCAAAGGTAGATTCATTGTATCCTTTTTCGGTATCTCCATATTGCTTTCCACAGAAGTTGAACTAGTTTGCATCCCACCGCAGTGTAGCGATGTTCCTCTCTCTCCACATCCACGCCAGCATTGCTTATTTGGAGACCATTTGATAAAGCCATTCCT